GCATCACCTCCTGATCCTTCTGTGCAGAGGGAATCATATTTTCCTCTGGAATTTTTTAATGCCTGAACCATTAGCTTTCCTAACCACGATTTAAATAGTTTATTCTTCATTTGTTCTGGGAAGAATAATACATATCAAGTGCATTGTGTTAACTTTTTGGACCATTATATTTCTGTGTTCATCTTTCTGTCTTTATTTTCTTCCTCACTTATTTAGAGGAACTATTCAGAACATATGAATTATTTTTATTTTTCTTTCTTCATGACAATCTTACTTCATGCAAGTTCTCATTTACATATGTTACTGTCAAAATTTAGGTTTTTTTCTCTTTTTGTTTATTGTTGGGGATTCATTGAGGGTACAAAGATTCAGGTTACACTAATTGCATTTGTCAAGCCAAGTCCCTCTTATAAACATGTCCCCCCCCCAGAGGTGTGCCAAACACCTTTACTCCCCACCCCCTCACATTTTCCCTCTCCCTGCTCCTCCATTCCCCACCCCCCATCATGTACTAGGTCATCAATTGTCCTCATGCCAAAATTGAGTACACTGGATAAGAATAATGTGTTCCATCTCCACCCAAGTTAGTACAAAAGATGTATAGTCTCCATCTTTTTTAGTGGCTGAATAATATTCCATTGTATACATAGAATGCTTAGGGCCACCCTTCCCCTCTCTGTCTCTGGGAATGTCATTGTCACCCAGAGAGCAGTGCAGGATAGCCTTTGGCTGGGATGGGCCTGGGGACCAGTGTGCCCACCTCCAGGGGCAGTAGGGCGGTACTTACCCCCTCCACAGGAGACGGAGCACTCGGAGCGCAGCACGGCCCAGGTGTAGCTGGGCCGGGCAATGGGTTTCTTCTCGGCCTCCAACAGAGGCACTGAGTATTCCCAGGCAATTCCTGGGTTCCTGCCCTGAAACAGAAGCTGTGAAATAAAAAGGGGAAAGATCAATTAAATTAATGTTAATGTGGGACTGCTAAATACCTGCTAATTTGCTTTAAAACATTTTAAAAAATGATATTGACAGAAATTTGGGTATGATGATAACATGAACTCAGCCTATCCTCTACAATTCCCATCAACTTTCTAGGTAGAAATAACACCCTCATCTAGACTCGAGCAAACCCAGGAACACGTCTAGAGGCATCTCATCCTCCCTCGCCTTGTACTCAGTGTGTCCTCCCCACGCAACACTCCACTGACACCTGCTAAGCACTGTCACACTTTCCAGTGAGTTCCAGATGACCCAGAACACTTAGACACCGTTCATGCTTGATCAAGATTCAGTTAGCACACTCTGTACAGCAAGAGGTGATGGGGGCTCTTGCCTACTGGGGAAAAGATACTCGTATTAGCAGAGAAGATTGCTCAGACCCAGCATCCCTGCAAGTCACAGTTTAGGTGATGGGACTGGGTTTGGACTCTACACATCCTGGCTTGAAACCCAGTCAAATGGACCAGTTGCCATTTCTTTCATATATTTCTTAGATCTTGGACTTCAGCATCAATCTGTTGATATAAGTCTCAGGCCTGGGCCTTGGAACCTTTGCTGTCCTTGATGTAAGGCCCATGTACACAAAGACACCTGCCCTTCTCTGACACCCCTGGGACCATGCTCCACCCTCTGCTGATGATACAACTCAAGTCCTGGTTGGTGCAGAAATGGTGGGACAGCTACAAGCCCAGGACAGGTGGCTGCCCTGGAAGGTCTCTGAGACGCTTTCCATTCCTGACACTCTGAGCCTTTGCAATGCTTCCTCCAT